TACACACACACACACACACACACACACACACACACACACACACACACACACACACACACACACACACACACACACACACACACCAGAACATCACCACCAGGTTATGATCTCATTTTGAAGCTGCTGACTTTGCCTTGCACCACCTACAGGTCCACCATGAAGCAGCTGTTAAAGACGGTGGAAACTGGGATTCAAACCAATAACATCGGCTCGCCATACCCTCGCAGCAATGCAATGCTGTGAGCAACTTCATGATTTTTTTTTTTTGGATAAAAGTTGCAGTGACTGTATGTGGTCTCTTAGTGGCAGAAACGCATAAACAGACACATTGGCCAACACGTCATGCATGTTCTTCAAATACAAAAAGTCAAAGAAAACATTGATATTTAAGAAACTTGGCACGATTTTACCCATTTTGTCACATAAAGGACAAATTTTATTTTGAACTAAAGAGAAACAGGAAGTGACATCAAAGAGGAACTCTTTTTAAGAAATAAAACTCTGTTTATTAAAACAATATGTGAACTCTGACTATCTCTGATAGTGACTCAAAAAATTTAAAGAAACATCAGATTCTTCACTATAGTCTGTGTTATTTTTTGTAGCAACTCTACGTGTGCATATCTCAACAACCGTCATCTTTTTTGCAATACATTATAAGTGTTATCGTTTCAAAAATGCACTCATATATTTTACAAACATTTGATGTCGCAGGCACTTGAAGTTGCTGCTTTTAATAAAGCTTCTGAATCTCCTTTTTCAGGGAACATGCCAACATGGTGAGGCGCAGGAAGCAGTGTCTCCTGGAGCAGATTCAGTCCCATCGTTTCCAGGACTGGAATCGTAATCAGGACCCTGAGAAACATTGTTACGAAACAGAGTGGCCGTCCCACCTGCCACTCTTCAGCTCCGATCTGGACTCAAGGACTCAAAAGCCAACAGGTCTTGTGCTCCCAGGAGCTTTGAATTATTGTGTTAAAGTATATGTTTGCAGGTTCACTGCCCACTCGTAAGCTTTTCAAATCCTAGAAATGAGAGACCCTGAATCTGAAGGTTAATAAGAAAGATCTTTGTGTTTTTGTCCTTCAGGTCTCGGCAGCATCCCAGAGAGTGAGGCGTCAGAGAGACCCCACGAGCACAATCTGCCCTCCAGACCCTCTGAGTTCCACCACGTTCAGCCGGGCTCAGCTCTGGCTGATGCCCTCGGAGAGTTCCTCCTGCCCCCAGACCCCCCAGGGATGGAGGCCTTTTACGACGAGGACAGGGTCTCCCTTTGCGACGCGCCTCTCTTTGACCCTTGCTCCTCCGCCTCCTCAGACTCCTCCATTGACATTGCTTTCGTGAAATGTCCCAAACCCCACTCAGCGCCGCACCACGCAGTGGCAACAAACAAGCCCACCGCCGTCTTTGGGATGGGCGGAAGTCATAGTTACGGCAAACTGCCTGGCCGGGGCTGCGTGTCACCAGATGAAGCCGTGATGACACGTCGCAATCTGCACCGGCCCCTCCAGGCCAGCCAGCACAAGAGTAAGGTACGGTGTATTTTCAATATATTTAGATATACAGTGGGTAAAATAAGTATTGAACACATCTCCATTTTTCTCAGTAAATATATTACTAGAGGTGCTAATGAYATGAAATTTTCACCAGATGTTGGTAACAACCCAAGTGATCCATACATACAAAGAAATCAAACCATAAATGTCCAGAAAT